ACATATATCTTTAAATGGGGAGTTTTCAAAAGAGCATGGAACAAAGTCTATAGAGGGCCTACATACAGCCTGTGTCCACAGTAAATATAGAAAATCTTGCCATGCAGGGAGCTTTGTAATATACAGTGATAATGTTCAGAGTTCTCTGCAGGACTGGAGGCTTTTTCAAAATGAAGGAAGTGGCATAGCCCTGTGGTTTCACAAACTCCAAAATTTGCATAAGTGTAAGCAGCACCACACCACATAACCATAACAGGCAGAGACAAAATGCTGCTTTTTAAATTTACTCCTCCCATTTGACCACCCCTTGAATGCCACTAGTGATATTGTGCAAACCCAGACTGAGATTAGTTTATCTGGTAGCTCCCTAAATATTGCCTTTGACTCTCAGGTTCAAAACACATATTAATTAGTTTTCTTGCACCTTTTGTGAGAAGAGTCCTACAGGGAGGAAGAAATGAGACACACACATTTTAGCAAATCCTTTTACTTAAATCCAATTGCTTAATAAGATAGTTTCCCTTGTATTTTATTAACTGCCTCACCTATACAGAAATGTCAAGCTCTCTCATATATTTATTTTCCAGGGATGTTTCAACTCCCTTCAAATCACCTTCCCCGGACTCCTCTGTGGAATCTGCGGGAGGTGAAAGTTACCTGAATGCAGAGAAATTTGACCTCTTAGGTGAAATTTTTGAGACACTAAACTTGCTGGAGTCAAGCCAAGCTCAACAGCCTCTCTACGGGACCCGCAGCTTAGATTTCTGTAACCTAGAAGAGGAGAACTTCTATACTAAGGTAAGCCCTACCAGCTCAGACTCTGGGTACCTCTAAAGAGGTGTAACTGCAATAATGGAGCTGAATATTGACCTTGTTGTCTTCGGACCTGTTGCAGCGGAGGCCCAGTAGAGAGGCCCTTTACGAAGCCCTATCTGAAGAACAGGATGATGCTGAAGATTCTCTGTCTGAAGACAGAGTGTTCCTGGGCTATGTGGATGAAGAGAACATGTCAAACACTTTGCTGTTGTCTGCCAGAGCTGCAAGCACAAGTAATGAGGTGTTGGTCCACAGCGCCCCTGAGCTGCAAGGTTGCCCTGGTCTGGATACCACAACTCTTTCCTTCCAGGAGGCTAGCAATGAGCCATCAGAAGCGGCATTGACCCAGAAGGCAGATCTTGAAACTGCCTTTCCTAGTCCAGTTACACCAGAGAGCCACACTGCTACCAAGTTGCAACAGGAATGTAGGACTGACCAGACCCTTCAACCTCCAATCAACGAGAACCCACAGGTAGAGTCATCGGTTGCTAGTAGTTCCACCATCCAAACATCTGCAGACTTTTTACAAACAAAAGCCAACGACTCTGTGGCAAAGAAGAGCACCCTAGGTAGGGTCACCAGCTTACCACCTCAGTTAGTTTCTAGGCAGTTGATGCAACCTAAGGTGCTGGAACTGAAGAAAAGATTTGAGGCCTGAAAGAGCATCCTGAAAATAGGCTGAATGTTTTAAGAGAAAAAAACCTTCTGTGTTTGAGTCATAATTACCCTTTAAACCTGGAGGCATTTCAAGAGGGAGCAGCATAGAAGTGCTTCATCTGTCCAGGCACATAAAAATACAGCAAGCAGCAGAGTTGGGGGGGAGGTGTCTATCAATAGCACAAAGGAAAAGGAGCACTTAGTTCATGTACAGCCAACTGGCAGGACTTCACTTCTAGAACCTGCATTTTAATAAATGAATTTTTGAGCTGGGCAGAGCGCCTTTCTTCCTTTCAGTGTGGAAGACTGCTTCCCATGTCGACCTTTCTCAAGCAGCATATCAGGAAAAGTAGTTTGGCATGGTGGCATGGTGTGCATATGTAAATGAGTCCCTGAAGTTCAATGCCCATAAATAAAATCAAGCAGTATTATCTAAAGTGTTATGGTAATGATAGGTGTGTGTGGTGAGAGGGGTGGGGGAAGGGAGATCCCTCGCCTGCTCATTTTTCTGTAAGCTGGCAGTTCTTTGCCCCTCTATGTTGATAAAGCTATAGATCCATGAGGCCAATAATACAGAAATAAAATAAGTCCTTTCTAGGTCCAGTTGCTATGTAAATAATTACAGAAGAGCAGCCAGAAATAGCTGGATTTAGCAAGCAGTGATAAGGTGGTATAAGAACCCTTAAATCTTAAAAGAGATGAGAGATCATAAAAGGATGATCTTACTCCTGAAGGAAAAAAAAATCTAATGGGCGATTTTGAAGACTTCTTCAAATTATTTATTTATTTATTTTTATTTATTTATTTATTAGATTTTTATACCGCCCCCTCTCCCGAAGGACTCGGGGTGGTGAACAGCCAAAATTAAAAACATACAATATAAACAATTAAAATACGTTTAAAACAGAATTAAATCCAATATGGTTCCCCAATTTAAAATGCCTTACCCATACCCCTATAAATAAGACGAATTTAAAATTTAAAAATTTAAAATTTCCACATTTAAAAAGGGGGAAGATTTAGGCCAGGCCAGCTTGATAAAATAGAAAAGTCTTAAGCGCGCGGCGGAAGGTGCGCAGATCCGGGATCCTACGTATCTCCGGGGGCAGCTTGTTCCAAATCGTAGGTGCCCCCACAGAGAAGGCTCTCCCCCTAGGGGCCGACAGCCGACATTGTTTGGCCGACGGCACCCGGAGGAGCCCCTCTCTATGGGAGCGTACTGGCCGGTGGGAGGCTATTGGTGGTAGCAGGCGGTCCCGTAAATAACCAGGTCCTAAGACATGGAGCGCTTTAAAGGTGATAACCAGAACCTTGAAGCGCACTCGGAAGACCACCGGGAGCCAGTGCAGCTCGCGCAGGAGAGGTGTTACATGGGAACTCCATGTCGCTCCCATCACCACCCGCGCGGCCGCACTCTGCGCCAGTTGGAGCCTCTGAGTGCACCTCAAGGGAGCCCCATGTAGAGAGCGTTGCAGTAGTCCAGACGAGAAGTAACAAGGGCATGAGTGACTGTGTGTAGGGAGTCCCGATCTAGATAGGGACGCAACTGGCGGATCAGGCGAACCTGATGAAAAATCCTCCCGGACACGGCCGTCACATGCTTCTAGGCTGCATTGGGTCAACTCTAATTATTCTGTTAAGCTATATCCTTTTTGGTAGCCCGCCAAGTGCTTCTGGCTACAGGCAACCTTACTATTTTAAGTTAAGAAATGCGCGAAATTATCTACCCCAATGCAGCTTCCATTGCACACACACACAAACACATTAAAGTTGTCCAAACCTGAGTTAAAAATCCTCCTTTCAGATCAAAATTCAGACACTTCGCAACTGTCCCATATTTATGACAGTTGCAGTATCCCAGAGTCATGTGAGCATCTTTTGTGACCTTCTGACAAGAAGAGTCAATGGGGAAGCCAATTCACTTAACAACTGTGTTACTAACTGCAGTGATTGAATTAACTGTGGCAAGAAATGTCGTAAAATGGAGTAAAACTCACTTAATGAATGTCTCACTCAGCAACAGAAAATTTGGGCTCAATTATGATTGTAAGTCAAGGACTATCTTTATATGATACTATACAGCAGCGGTCCCCAAACTTTGTGAACCAGGCCATGAGAGCAGTGGGCTGGCGCACATGCAGGTCCACTCAGACAAGAAAGAAGTCAAGTCTTTGGGGCACGGTTTCGCGCTCCTTCAGACTTCTCCCACCAAAAACTTTTGCAAATGGACAGAAAGGCTGAAGCAGTGTGAGATTGCTCCCCCAAAGTCTCGTCCCTTTGCGAAAGCTTTTGACGCTGCAAACCTTTGGGGACATGGTCTCCCTCAGACTCAGCAATGCTCCAAAAGCGGATCAGGTGTCCTGCAGAGGCAGCCTCAGTGAGTTAGAGAAGCTGAACAGAGTGCACTCATTGCACTCAGCCTCTGCTCTCACCACTCTGCTTTTGGAGCATCGGGAGCAGGCGGCTTGACAGCCTTGCTGTGGGGCAGAGGGGAATTGGGCCACGCGAGTGGTGGGCTGACACACACGCATGCACACAGCTCCACTCATGCGAGAGAGAAGCCTTTGGGGTGACCCTCACGCAAGTGGAACTGAGTCACGCACCAGCCGCCTCTTGCCTGGCCCGGTTTCGAACAGGCCACGACCCCGTAGTTGACTGCGGCGCAGGGGTTGGGGACCCCTGCTATACAGTACTGTGCTGCTACCTAGTGTCTGCCAAAGTCTAAAATATTCCTTTGAAAGTTTCTTACACAAAAGCAGCTTTTCACCCCTGAACTTGGATAGCTACAAGTAGTCCTCAATTTACAACTGCAATTGGAACCAAAACATCAGTCACTTACTGAGATGGTCATTAAGTGACTGATGTTTTGGTTCCAATTGCAAGAGGTCATAAAATCAGATGTGGCTCACTTAATGAGGTGGTCATTAAGTGAGTCGCATCTGATTTTATGACCTCTTGCACAAATGTTAAGTAGATCTGACTTTCCCCATTGACTACTTGTCAAAAGCTGAGTGGAAAGGTCACAAAAGTGGTCACATGACCCTGGGATGCTGCAACCATCGTAAATATTTGCAGGTTGCCAAGTGCCCAAATTCTGATCATGTGACGGCAGGGATGCTGTGATGGTCCTAAGTGCAAGGACCAGTCAAAAGTCACTTTTTTTCCAGTGTTGCTGTAACTTTGAACAATCACTAAAAGATAGGCAAAAGACAACGACTACCTGTACCTGAAGCCTGGATGTCTCTTTATGCCCTTATTCTAGAGTTAACTCATCAATGCATTAAAAAATAAAGCACTGCCTGCATTCTATGCAATGCACAGAAAAGGGGGTAAAGCCAGCCCTGACCAGTTATAGAAAATAAAAATAGGATATAAATTGGATGACCCAAACTTTTAAAATGAGACACATGAAAGATGGTGACTTTAAAGAGTTTGGAAGAAGGATGATGAAGCAGCACTTGTAACTGAAGAATAAATAAACAGCATATTTAATATGTGTGAGGTCTAGCTAAATTTCTAGATTGCTCGATGGTTTGCTTCATTTTATTGCTTGGTGTGAGTGATGCATTTAGATCGTTTCAGAATAAACTTTCCATCAAGCAACTGAGTGCATTAACCCTTCCGCCACCGCACAATTCATCAAGTGGTGCCATTTTTTCCCTCATCAAAAAAGGGAGATTGACTTTTATTAGAAAGTGGCATTCTTAAAGGCAGGGGAGACAACAAACACACACTTAAAAAAAACACTTGAAAGGCAAAATCCCCTCCCAGAATCCACCAGTTGGGCTAAGGCAGCAGCCTTCATATCCCGAAGCCACCATCCTTCTCTCTTCAGAAAGACCGACCGTTCCCACTGGCTGCACAGTCGATTCTATTCTAGGAAGAGCAACAGCATGGTCTGTTCCCATAGCATCAGGGTGGGCCTTTTCTTTCTGGGTGCAGAGAGCAGGATCCCATCTTGCATCTCTACTCAGCTCCCGGGCTGCCTTCTTCCTGACATTTGGAACTTCTCCACTGACAGCTATTCATAGCTAGCCAGCCAGCTGGGAATGCTGCCAACCATACCGGGGCTCTTCCAGTTTTACAGGTCCGTTCTCAATCTTTTTTTTTTTTTAGTCCAGTGTGCTAAGCAGCTTTTTCCAAGGAGAGACCCCAAAATTGTGTCCTTTTTCACTCTGTCAGATAAGTCGCTCTTCTGGAGGCAGCTTGAGGTTGGTCTGTGGTTCCACACGGGTCCCTGCCTGCTCCTCATTGCTGGGCCGGTAGGTCCCTTCTGTCTGGCGCTTCTCTCGAATTTTGAGTCCCATGAAAACCAAAAGGCCAATTAGCAAGAGTCCTACAAAAACACAAGGCACAGCTATAGCAGCTTCCAGTTCCGCCTTCTGCACAGAGGAAGAGTTGGGGAAAAAAAGCAGAGTTAGTTGCTGTTCAACACAAAAACAGCAAGGCAGAGCTCAATATGGAAAAGCTATTACCCACCCTTTGCAGTCTGTGCTGCACAAATAAACAGTTGTAACACATCAGTACAAGTAATCCATGAGTATCAATGGCAATTGGGACTGGGATTGCTGTTGCTAACTAATATAAGCATAAAGCATAAACCCAGGAGTCCAGGTTGCTCTCATAACCCCTGGACCACTTGGGTCATCGAGTGGGTAGAGGCAGGAGTCCCAGGTAAGGAGAGCACTGGGGTCATGTGGATGATGTGGGTAAATTGTGGGTGGGCACTAGGGAGCATATATGGGCTGGTGGGACAGTGGTTGAGCATTAGGGAGTGAGGGCAGTCCAGCAAGGACCATGGGCGGGGGGGGAGTGCTGCAAGCATGATGCTATGGAGCATGGGAGGGATGTTGCAGACATACTCCCTAGTGGGGTTTCTCAGGAGAAAGAGTGGCAAAAGCAACTTATGGTAGTGGCTTGTGAGTGTCCCTGGTGGCTTCCCCTTGACTTTTCTTGTGGGAAGCAACCAGGGAAGTTCTCAAATAGTTATTCTTTGACGGCAGGGAATCTGCAATGGGCACAACATTATGGACCATCCTAAGTACCCCTCGTTCAGCACCTTTTAAACAGTCACTGAGTGGTAACTGGAGGACAATCTGTAGAAAATGTCACTATCCAAAGCCACAGCTTTGCTTATGTGCTAAGCCAGAGCAAGCATTTGAAAATATTTGGAAAAGGGATTTGAGATCTCACACAAGCCGAGCACCTCTGCTATCCATAAAACAAACAGATTGTCATTTTTAAAGCTTATGTACAACTGAAAAAGATTCAGCTGCTTTATGAATCACATTAAAGACACACTGCTTCATTATTTGATTCACTAAACTGCCACAGCTTCTTTGTAGGCTCGGAGCCCTTATCAATTATGGTAGGATGGATGGACACACAGACAGGAAGCAGAGACCTTGTACAGGATCTTCTATGTTTGTTTGTTTCCAATACCAAAAGTACAGCCCAAATCCAGACCCTCCATTGCCAATGCATTCTCGTGTTTGTGTGTAATATACTGAAAACAGTCAGACTTTTATAAGTACTCATGTGAGAACACAACTATCTTTCAAGATTTGTCTCTTTTAAAAAGCTGAACTCTTTGTGAGTCAAAGGGCGCCATCTTGTGGTGATGTTCCACATTGCCCATCTTATAATGGTACTTCCAGTCACTCAATAGAAAACACAAGCATCAATTGTGTTCTTTTCACTCACTGGATAGAAGGGAAATTGCTCTAGGGTTACTTACTATACCTTTCCCTCAAGAACTATTAGTAACTCAGCTCACATTCTGAGACACCTACCGAGAGGCCTTTGGGAGAAGTGGGTGGCACTGACGTAGGCCCTGCTGTGCTGTTATCACCGGAGGAACCTTGGAGAGACATAAAACAGCATTAGAAATAAAGGAAGAGCCTCATATCTGGCTCCGATACCATGGAAGAAACTGTGCAAATTATGTTGTTCAACACTTCTCCATTACAAACTGCAGCATTCCAATTAGGGGATCACTGAAGCTTTCCCTAATTCCCTCCAGTAAAAATAATGCCAGTCGTCTCATAACACAGTCTATTCAAAATTGGTGTCTATTAGGAAAGTCTTTCTACTTGGGTCTGCACATCTAATTTGTCTTCAGGAATAATTTCTGTTCTCTGGAGCACAAAAAAAAAGGATACTGCTCCATCTTCTAGATTTTTCCCCTAAATATTTGACAATTTATATTGTATCGCTTCAATCTTTTCTTCTCAACCCTACACATACTGTATAGTCAATTTCTTCTCCATTTTGTCATGGGATTATTTGTCTATGCCCCTCACCATCCTGGCTGCCTTTCTGGACTTTCAACTTGCTATTTTTCTTAAAATACCATTTAGCCATAAATAGGACATGGTATTGCAGATGAAAGCACTGCTGAATGAAAATTAGTCTTGACTGTTAGTGGTTCTGCTACTTTGTTGGCTCATGGTCAGCTTATCAACAACTATGGCCCTTAGACTTTTCATGCATATTGTTGCCACCTTATTCAGTTGCCTTTGTTCTTGGACCTAAATGCAGGAGCATAAATCAGGCTTTAGATTCCCAGTTTGATAAACATTCTATAGAAGAATTTAAATCATGAATAAAAATATGGAACATCATAGGGCTTATAACAGAACTTAATGGTACTCCATGTCTTTCCTCTAAAATGATTTTTAATAACACACCAGCCAAGAAATCAAATCTGTCCAAGGTAATGGGTAATTTTAATTCAGCCATGCACTAAAATGCAATGCCACCTAGTGACTGTTACGATATAATATATCCAGGGATCTTTGTAATGCGGTAAACAGGTGGTTTTCCAACCTGTTCACCTGGATTGTTTCTTTTTTGTTTGAATAAAAACAATAAGATATAGTAGTTCTGTGTGTGAAACAGACAAATATTCATGGAGAATCCAGGGTAGTAGTAGCAAAAATAAATGCTTGTCAAGGAATAGCTTCAATCATTCACTAATTCCCAATGCTAGTTAGGGTTTGGTTGTTTCAAACATTCAAGCTCACCACTAGATCCTTAGATAATCACTAAGGCATTGGAGACCCTCTACTGCAGTGTTTCTCAACCTTGGTAGCTTGAAGATGGGTGGACTTCAACTCCCAGAATCCCCCAGCCAGTGCTGGGTTGGGGGTTTCTGGGAGTTGAAGTCCACCCATCTTCAAGCTTCCAAGGTTGAGAAACACTGCTCTACTGAGACTTTGCCTGCCCTGTTTATATTCAAGTTAATGTTTTGGGCATTAGGGAAACAGTAACGTAGATATACTACTTCCACAAAGTTTTATTCAAATCCTGCCTATATAAATACATTTTCAGTCTCAGTTGCCAATCTGTTGTTGTTGTTTTTTCCTGTTACAGGGCTCAACAATCTTTTCACCTGGATCCATGAGTTTCCTTTTAAAAATGTCCCAAATACCAGCAAGATTGTTAAGAATGCAACATTCTTAGGAAAGGACTCCCTTGACTATTGAATTGCTGGTTTTATTTTTTTAAAGAAACTTCCTTTGACAAGCTTTCACCTGGCTCTTGGGGCAGGTGTGGCTCATGTTTGGATAGTTTCTGCTCCCAGGCATTCCATTTCTGCCTTGGCCTGAGCACTGTTTCAGGTATGAGAAGGTAGGAGGTGGAGCCACCAGGTTTCAACAGTCTTTCCAAGTTTCAGATAATCCACGCCCAGAGTGATAGGCGGGCACTAAAGATTTAGCCAGATCTCATTCCCTGGCCTGAAGGACTCTGAGCTATATCCTGAAAGGGTTTTGCAATTCATAGGTGAGGTCTAGTCAAGAGCCAAAGAATTCAGGGGAAGCCACAGAGGGAAGAAAAGGATTCTGCTTTAGTTGAGCTCTTATTTTAATGCCTCACTATATTTGAATGAGAAATTTTATGGTTAATGGCTTTCTCAGATCGCAGAGAAATTAAAACTACTAGAACAAGGCACGTATATAATTGTGATCTCTTTGAACACAAACCAATTTGCTTCTCTTGTCTACCAAAATGGAAGTCAAATATTGTCCAAATATATATTTATAACTGTTTGGAAAATTGTGACACTTCAAATTTAATAGGTTGTGTCAAATTTAAAAGGTTGTGTCCAAAAGTTGTATAATTTATTTATTAAAACTATTTCTAAGCTACCTTTATGAACTAAAGTCTCCCAAGATAGCTTGTGCAACAGAATAAACTCAACAAGAAAATTGAAATATTTATACTCAAACTGTCCCAAGTTCTAAAATCCAGTTCAGAGTAAAAGCTATGGAAAATATTCAAACACGTTAAATTGAAGGGTTAAATTGAATTTAACTTAATTAAATTTGAATAAAGGGAGCTTTCCCAAAATAGACAATAAAAGCAGATATTCCAGGTCCTCCACCAAAATTTGCAATCTAATAGGTTGCTTCTCCATGCCTGCTGGGATTGCTTTGCTCAAAATCTGGAGCCTGCTGTTTTTTCAGAAAGCTTGAAGGCTTGGCTTTGTTCTGCAGGCCTTGGGGCAGAGTGATTTCTGGCTCCATATTTGATTTGATACTGAGTATTTTACTTTGTTTATATTTATGCCGTTTTCTCCCAACATGCTATTTAACAGTTTATTGGTTTTTCTTTTGGTTTGGTTTTTTTTTTCTCAAATGTTAATTTGAGAAATTAATTTATTGCCTATTTCCTTAGATTTGCTTTAGCATTTGAGATGGCTTATAGGTAAAACAAATCAAATAAAAATATATAATGATCCCATACATGGAGCACTGTTTGAATATGACATTGCACTCTTGCTAAATAATTTACAGTCTAAGACATCATAGGATGCCTTCCAAAGTAAAGGCCATCAGTGAAAGCCAATCATACTCCAACAGGAGATAGAATTCCTAGACTTTGTAATATAAGCTGGAAATTTACTATCCAAACTGTTGCAGATAGAGTTTTATTTGGGAGGGGAGGAATTTAGAGAAGATATTCTGACTGTTGGGCATGATCTACTCTTTGGGGCAATCATTAAGCAGACAGGCAACTGTACCAACCACCAACCATCGGAGATGCCAGATTCCCTCCCCAAATTCTAGCCAGCCCATTCTTCTTTCTTTTATGGCAGCAAAGATAGCTCACCCACCCTGACCCCATGCAGGATGCAAAAGGGATTGGAGAGACACTGCCAGAAGGAGTGCAAGGTATCCAGAGCCGGCCATTGCCCACCTCTCCAGCCAGGAGAGGGACAGGATGAGGGGAGGAAATCCCCACTGCCGCAGGAGAAAGGCTGCTGGCACTAACTTCTGTCTGTATTGCAGCAACCTCCCAAATACTCCAGGTAGTTCTTCTGCTGCAAGAAAGTCCTGGGAGAGAGATGCCAGGCTTGTTTGCCACTGGAAAAGAAAGAGACAAAGTGATTGATACTCAAATGTCTGGGCAACTGCTAGGTTTGAATCTGGGCCTCCCACAATCTTAGTACAACAACTCAGAAATTGTCTGGAATCATCAGAAGATATTTCTTCCAATGAACAAACGTTCAATTAGATGTTCTTCTGAATGAACAAGTCAAGAAGGGTGTGGAACAGGACTGCAACTGGCTTGCTGCATTCTTTGGTACAACCATTGAACATTCTGCTCTCCACCAACATGGCAATTCTAATATTTTTTCCACTCCACACCCACACACAAAACCGGGACAATAGATCAGTCATTCTGTCCAGCAATATAACATATTCCTCCATAAATATGTGATGCTCCATAAATTGTTACTCATAAACTTATTCCTGGGAGATATTGCATGCATTTAATTTCTCACAACTGTCTTTCAAAGTATTTTAAAGGATACCCTTCTTGTTGGTAGAGTACACTGCATTCAGCCATTATGGATTAGAATGATTTTTGATGGCACCAGTGGTAACTCATGGATTGTTTAAGGAAGTAAGCCAGAGTTTGATACCACTGTTCATTTGCTTATTTATTACAACTATGGCTTAACAAGGATCTCTGGATTTGGTTTACAGTTTGCTGGATTACTACTGGATTACTTTAGAGCTCTGCCTAAATGTTTTTCTGAATCAAATAGATGCAAGCAAGGACACCTAAAATGGGAGCAAAAACAAACCAGTAATTTGACTAATCATGCAGATTATCTATGTGGTTGCTGGAAGTAAAAAATGATTTGGTAACACATAATTAATCAATTAGCTAAACAAGCCACTACAGTATTACTTTTCTCATTTACAAGGCTGATTCTGTCTCATTTCCCATTTAACAGATTACGGTAAAAATGATTTAGATGATATTAAGACCTTAATTATGGACAGCCTAAACCAGAAAACGGCAATATAATCAATGAAATTTTCTTCTGAAGTTGCAGTTTGGGACATGCATGAGCAGTGCCCAAAACCCCTAAATGATTAATATTGTGGGAAAAGGGTTGGAGGTTCCCAAACAACTGTTAATCTGTATGTATAACTGAAAAATAGCACTTAGATAGATATAAGCAACTTGCAAGTAATTTAAAACAAAGACCTGGAATATCTTGTTTTTAAAAAGCAACCCTATTTTATAATCTTAAAATGTGATTAACACAACCAAAGATTCTGGGAATTATTAGATACACCACACCATGCAGGTAGTCCTTGACTTACGACCACAACTGAGCAAAAATTTATATTGCTAAGCAAGACAATTGTTAAGTGAGCTTTGCCCCATTTTACAACCTTTCTTATCACAGTTGTTAAGTGAATCTGGCTTCCCCATTGACTTTGCTTCTTATCAAAAGGCTGCAAAAGGTGATCACATGACCCTGGGACACTGCAACCGTCATAAATACCTGTCAGTTGTGAATTGGTCGAATTTGGATCATATGGCCATAAGGATGCTGCAACAGCCATGTCACTTTTTTCAGTCCTGTTGTATCTTCAAATGGTCCCTAAACAAATGGTTGTAAGTTGAAGACTACCTGTATGTTGTACAGATTGGGTTTCTGTATATTAGAAATATAATATTTTGAATGAGACACAGCTCATATATTTTGCCCTTGTTTTCTTGTGCCATTATTTTGGTTTAATATTCACCAAGTTGCTGAGAAAACAAACATTAAAGATGTGAATGTGAAGTTAAATCACATTTGAAATTTAGCTTTCCTATGCATGGGATACAACTAAAAATATTGTTTTATTATTTCACACTTGACATAAATCTTTGGATGAAATACGGGTAGTCCTTGACTTACAACAGTTCATTTAGTGACCATTCAAAGTTACAACAGTACTGAAAAATGGGACTTATGACTGTTTTTCACAGTTACCACCTTTGCAGCATCCCAAGGTCATATGATCACTTTTTACAACCTTCTCACAAGGAAAAACATATGGGAAGCTAGATTCGCTTAACAACTAGGATACTAAGTTATCAAGTGATTCACTTAATAACTGTGGCAAGGTAGGTCATAAAATGGGGCAAAACTCACTTAACAAATGTCTTGCTTAACAACAGGAATTTTGGGCTCAATTGTGGTCTTAAGTTAAGGACTACCTGTATGTATTCACTCTCTACCTATGAACTAGACTGAAGACAGCCATCCAACAGTTCTTTATGTGATTGAATTTCGATTTCTTTAAGAATTGACCTTTTCATTTTATAGTTAGGTATTTCTCTTATTAGTTTATTTTTATTTATGTTTTTTTCTATTTTGTTATATGATGTTTTTTCCTTTTTATATGTTAAATCATTCACATATTAAAAAAGCAAAAAAAATGAAAAAGTGAATAATTTGTGTTTAAAAAGTTGAAAACCACAAAATCAAAAAGATTTGATGAGAAATCCCACTCAGATGAAAGCAGGGGTGAAATGCTACCGGTTTGCTCAGGTACGGGAGAATTGGTAGTGATAAAAACTACAGGTTCGGGCAAACCGATAGTATAAAAATGCTTTAAAAAGTTTTTTAAAAAGGTTCCGATGATCACAGCTGTGCCGCGTGATCGTGGGAACCTTTTTTTTACTTTTTTAAAGCATTTTCTTACTACCAGGTTGGGTGAATAGGTAGTAAAAAAGCTTTAAAAGTTTTTTTTAAGTTGGCCACGCCCACTCAGTCACATGACCCCACCACCACCAAGCCACATCCACCAAGCCACACCCACAGAACTGGTAGCAAAAAAAAATTGCATTTCACCACTGGATGAAAGTACTGCTTCAATATGTCACATGAGGCAAACTGCTGCCTGAAGGGACCAGATGACTGCAAAGAAATGTAATCTTTCCACCACCATCCTGTCAGAACCTATCTTTCCATCCCTCTACCACCCAGTCTCAACTCTCAATCCCTATCCTCCCACCCACCTGCCATCAGAACTTATGAAGCTTCTTGCATGAGAAGTGAAACATTTTCTTCTTCTTCCTCAAAGGAAAAAAAAAACAGTCCAGAAAAAAAGCACCTTTAAGACAACTATGACCTGGATCAGGGGTCTCCAACCTTGGCAACTTTAATACTTGTTGACTTCAAGTCCCAGAATTCCTCCGCCAGCTTTGCTTATGCTGACTGAGGAACTCTGGGAGTTGAAGTCCATAAGTTTTAAAGTTGCCAAGGTTGGAAATCCCTGACCTGGATGACTGAGAATCTCCACAGACATCCTTGCTATCCCCACAAAAAACATACAATTGCTCCTCTGAGATGGAAATACTTAAACATTCATGACTTGTATTTGGTTAGTTAGGGCTATTAAGTCAGGCCCAACCCTGGTGATTATATGGACAAACACCATCTGCAATTCTTCCAAGGACATCCCAATTATCTCCCTGATCCCATCCATCCATTACATCCGCTGCCTTCCCCTTCCCTGAACTTTGCCACAAGGAGAGATGCTTTTCTTAGTCTACTATCCCCCAAACTGCATGCCCCAAATATGTGACTTTTTTTGCTGAGTAACAACTCAAGGAAACAGGAGCAATTTTGCGTTTCTTGCCATCCGTGGCAGTCTTAGCAAATGACCTCTAATTTGTAACTCGGTACTTTCTTTCACTCTCTCTTTCTCAATAGTCAACTACATAAGGTTTTCAAAATTCACCCACCTGTATAGTCCATCATCATCATCATCATTATTTTGCTGCTCTCCCTAAAGTGAACCCAACATCCCAAAGCTCCTCCCCTCTCCTCATGCATATAAAAGCATAATCTTAATACACATTTCAATCCCACTCTGGATAGAAAAGAGGAAGGTGCCTGGACTGATCCTTGGAAGTGAGTCATACTACCTTCTGGGCCAAAAGAAGCAGATGGGCTCAAGGGGCCACGGTTACATTCTTTCACAGGTTCATTTAGAAATTGTTCCACTGAAATCTATGAGCACAGGTAGTTCTCAGCTTACAACCCTTTGTTTAGTGATGATTGGAAGTTACAGCAGAAAAACGATATGGCTGTTTTTCACACTTACAACCATTGTAGTCAACCATTTTGGTCACATGATCAAAATTCTGTGCTTGGCAACTGACTCATATTTAGGACAATTTCAGTATCCTGGGATTACCTTTTGTGACTTTTTGACAAGCAAACTGAATGAAGAAGCCAGAGTCACTTAACAGCCATGTCACTAACGTAACAACTGCGGTGATTCACTTAACAACTGTGGCCTTTATGAAAGGTCATAAAGTGGGGCAAAATTCACTTAACAATTGTCTTGCTTAGGAGCAGAAATTTTGGGCTCAGTTGTGATTGTAAGTTGAAGACTACCTGTAACATGAATGAGGTATAGGATGGAGCTATATTTAACAAGCATATCACAAAGGATGAAAGCCTGAGTAGTATACCAGCAAAGGCCCAATTGAAATGTCACCTCTAGCATGAATTTATTAAGTGGACTTCAAGGAAGCTACCCACTAATTCACATACAGTACAGCTAGTCCTCAGCTTATGAACACAACTGGGACCAGAATTTCTGATGCTAAACAAGTGAGCTGTGCCTGATTTCATGACCTTTTTTGCCATTGTTTTTAAGCGAATCAGTGCAATTGTTAATTGACTCATGTGATCGTTAAGCAAATCTGGCTTCTCCCCTTGACATTGCTTGTCAGAAGCCAGCTAGGAAGTTCACAAATGGCAATCACATGACCTGGCATACTCCAACAGCCATAAATACATGTTGCCAAGCACCTGAATTTGATCACGTGACCATGGGGATATTGCGAGTGTGGGGACCGCCATTGTAACTTCAAACGATTGCTAAACAAATGGTGCAAATTATGATGCAAACTATGTATAATGGTAACAATATTGCCCTACCTTGAAATATGTCCTCAAGATGGAATGAAGAGAGTTGTATAGGCTTAGCATTAAGATTTAACATGGGTTCCTGTAATTTTTATTTTGGGGGCAACTTTTATATTTAAGGAATAA